TGTGAAACATGAAGTTTTGAAAACCATCCCTAACTGTACCGGGAAAGAACCGTCCTAGGTACAAGTTTATTACCCTTTATGTTTGTTCCCTCGTAGAAATAATTAATTTAATATACCGATTCGTTTACCGTTTTATAATAAATCTGACTAGGCCTCCGTGTCGCATTTGGTGACCACCTGAGAACCGTAAAGAAGGGAAAAGACTATTCGTCGGCACGTCATGCAAGTCCGGCCATAAAGGCCCTTAACTTGGCGAACGTGAAGTTATTAAAACCATCCCTACCTGTAACGGGAAAGAACCGTCCTCGGTACAAGTTTATTACTCTTTATGTTTCTCAGGTCAGCCCAGGTACGCGTCCACTTGGACTTTTCCGTGCGCACGTGTCCACCCTGGTGTCGAACCACCCCGTGGCGGATTTTCTCCCACTATCGTATAATTTCCAACGCATTTTCTCCAATGTGATTTTCCGAATGGACGGATTCTTTCTTCGGTTCAATGACTTTTTTAGTTCTGCCGCCTCCATAACCTAATCGGTGCATTAAGAAACGACAAAACCGATTAAGTAAACGGACGATTAACCTAGACAAATCAAAGAGGTTGGCCAGAAACGTTTAGTAGAAATAAACAAGAAGGGCAGGCACGTATCTAAAGGTAGAGACGGAAGAATCGCGATAAACGGCAGAAGAGATGGACTGGAGAACTCGGAGTCCATCTTTTCCCGTCTACTTCCTGCAGCCCCCGCAAGGTGGCACTTCGTCTAAACTGCACCTGTCGCCTCTTCTGGGATGCACAACCTGGTGCCTTTCCGTGAAAGGTGCATCGCGGTGCAACTAAGGAAGGTGGGGAAAAGTGCACGATCACCGTAAGAAAAGGACGGACGCGTCCACGAGGGGAGCAAAGAGAAGGACGAAGAGAAACGGCCGAAAGGATACCACGGAAGGGCGACCGAGAGAGGGAGAGAAGGAAAGAGAGAGATTCATCGAGAGCCATAAATCTGCGTCCAACGATATAAATCAGAGGAGAACTTGCGACAGTGACACGTGAAACCGGCATTAGCGTGGCGCGATTGCGATACCGGCCGCGATAAGGCTCATTATATATCAATCTTTCCCATGGAGCCGTAATTAAAGGCCCGCGATTGGACGAGGCGAGGCGGAGTGGGAGGTCGACATGTTGCCGTTGGATCCGGCTTTGATAAAGTACCTTCGACCCACTTTCGCCTCGAGATCGATGGATAAAAACCGATGTTGATAGGATGTCGATCCCCCGATTAAACGTTATCCTAATCATTAACCGGCGGGAGATATCATCGGCCCGCTCCGACAATTAGCGCGATTCAATCGAGTCTTAATGACGGACTCGATCCGCACGAAATGTGCATACCCATCGTTCAACGTTCGTTTTTATTTTTTTTAATTTTATTTACGCGGGGATTTATACTCCGCTAATGAATCATCGTGTGGTTAAGGGGATGTGAAAGTGGCATCCGAAAGCTCAATCGTTCACAAAACTTTTCTACGAACGGGGTGTCTCAAATCGTTTCATACTCGTGAAATTTCATTTTTTATACACTATTTTTAAAATACCTATAAAGAAATTTGAAAAGAATTTAAATTTCATGAGTTTCAGGACCTCCCTTATAGTCTCCCTGTTCACGTTGTAAAGTTTCAAACTATTCGGTAAATCGAGTTGGGAGAAAAGTTTAATAATCAAAACCTCTTCGACGCCACTTTCACATCACCTTAAGGCCATTTGCATGTGCAGAAGTGTAAGGGAGAGGCTCGAGAAAGGAGAAATGCCGAACAATTGCTTATTTCTGTTCTACGCGAGAGTTAGTCGGGAATTTTACAATTTTCTTTTCACGCGGTCAGGCCGACCGATAGACGGGTCGAAATATTAATTATTCAGTAACCCACGGCCGATTTAATTTATTAGTTGTCGCTGAATAATGCAAATCCGAGGGCTCGGTCGTAGAAAAGTGGCCCAAGGAAATCCGAAAATAGAACATAGCGGCCAGGAATGATAAAGTGCACTCGGGCTCGACGTCACGGCCATTTCCGCTTTCTGTTACGACCCGAAGGAGGGCGAAGCAAATTAGCCGGCGAGTAGCCGGACTGATTTAAGAGTTTCCCGAGATTTGCACTTCCTCCCGCGTTTGCCAATGAATTCCGCAGATTTATTCCCATGTTTATTACCCTCCCCGCGTTCCACCCGCGAGCAAAAGAGAGAACGCGAAAGCCCATGTGAGAAGAAAGATGGCCGCTCCTTGGCGACGAGCAGTACCGTCTCTTCCACGAAGCATCGTCGCTTAATTTCACTAATTCTCGCGTGAGCTTAACACAAATTACGTCCTCACTTATCCGGCCATTCCTCGTGAAACCCAAACCCGAAATTTAAGAAGTCCTTTATTAAAAAGGACATGCATTAGCGTTAACTTTAGCGCGCCTCGCGCTTCCTTATTTTAGAATAGCGCGCGCAATTCAAATTGTTTAAATCATAGAAATTGTTTCCGTTTAGTCTGACGTTTCTCGAGTTAATTTCATACTTCTATTTTAAATAGGAAATTAATACAAGGATGTAATTAGCGTTAATTTTGACCCTTACATCGTCTTTAAATAATATTTATCAAGGGAACCTGCAAAAGCGTACAATTGATGTCTTACATAGTGAAGAACAAATTGTCATTAGCGATCGCAAATTAATATCAAACTTCTATTTTAAATAGGAAATTAATACAGAGAATCTCAAAAAGTAAATATTAAATTACATTGGATATGCGTCTTGGAAGAGAAAAAAATAAATAAATAAATAAAAAACTCGGTCTCGCGATCATGAAAGAGTAAGACCAACTTCGAGAAGTGCATAAAACGAGTCGACGATTAAAAGCGCAGATTGAAGTTCGTTTCGACACTACGCGACGCTGTTTCCGCGAGGTGCTCTAATTCATTAATTGCTCAAAGAGAGGAAGAGAGGAAAAGAGAGGGAGATGCAGTTTGCCTTCCCACTCTCCCGCGCCGGCCCCTTTTCTTTCTCCCTCTGCTCCGTAATAACGTTACTTAATTATATAACTTTTTAATGTTCTCTCGGAAGGTAATTCTCCCGGGACAATAAACCACCCCTCCGGCCCTCTTCGCCCCTCCCGAAGCTCGAAGAACCAGTCGAGGGAGAGAGACGAAGAGAAGGGAGAAGCTCGAGAAAGAGGGAGAGAAAAGTCGGACGGCTCTGCCCACAGATGGCAGGCGAGAGGGAGAGATAGGAGATTAGTTTGCTTTGTCATGGAAAATCATTGCGACGATATATCCCTCCCCTCCCCCTTGCCGGCGCAACAATAGTAAATAAGATAGCAGACGAGTGCTTTATTACGGCCAATATAATTACCGGCGCGTCCACTTTGTCCCCGTTATTGTCGTGGCTGTCCATTAAGAGCGCTTTACTTTCGATTCGACTCTTCGGCGGAATTTCCTCCTTCTAATTTTCTAATTTCATTTCGACCCTATTTCCTCGTTCAAACTTGCAATTAGATACTTTAGTTGACATTTCACGAGCGCTTTACATTCAACTCGACTCTTCGGCGGAATTTCCTCCTTCTAATTTTCCAATTTCATGTCGACCCTTTTCCTCGTTTAAACTTGCACTTAGATTGTTTAGTTAATGCTTTAAGAGCGTTTTACTTTCGATTCGTTTCTTCGACGGAATTTTCTAATTTCATTTCGACCCTTTTTCCTCGTTCAAACTTGCAATTAGATACTTTAGTTGACATTTCACGAGCGCTTTCCTTTCAATTCGACTTTTCGCCGCAACTTCCTCTTAATTTTCAATTTTCATTTCACCCCTTTTCCTCGTTCAAACTTGCATTTAGATGCTTTAGTAGAGAGAAAAAGAGAGAGAGAGGGACAGAGAGGAAAGGCGACCCCTCTGTTCGCCCTCTTTCCATTTCGCTGAATTCATAATAATATATATGTATAAGAAAAAAAAGTCTAAATTTACAGAGTCATTACATCCTACGTAGCCGCGTAATTTCCTTCAAATCAGTTTAACACTTTCGCCGGCGATAAGGAACGGTGGGAAAGACGCGTCCAGAACGGTGGGCGTAAATGTTCCTCCCGCTTTTAAAACGTGTCGAAAATAATAACGGCCAAAGAGGCCCTAAGAAGAGCCGAATCGCGGCGAGCGCGCGTCCACTCGCGCGATCCCCTCGGCTCGTAAAGAGTCGAGGAAAAAAGCCGAGACCGGTTTCGAGAGAGTTTGCGCTCCCCGAGGGGCGCCCTAACCTCTCTTTCGCCTCTCGGCGCTGTTCAGGCCGCGTTCCGGCCCTTCTTGCCTTCTGGCTTCTTGCGGCCAAAAGGACGCGCGACGATGATCGAGGAACTCGTGTCACTCCTCAAAGGGAGGGAACAAAGATAGGAAGAGCCTTAAGATGATATGAAAGCGTGATAAACAACAACAAAAACAACAACAACCTTAATATAATAACAATAATGATATATAATTATTGTTATTATATTAACGTTTATTATTGCCACTCTTATGTATATACACACAAGACTGGCAAAGCTAGCGGTATTTTTTCCAACTCAACCGCGAGAAGAAAAATTAAATTGAACCAAAGAAATATTTCCTTAAATAGCGCCAAAGGATCATTTTATTAATTAAACTTAAATTGTTGGACTCCAATGAACTCAAAGAAATTGTCATAATTTCGTCGAAATGTTGCATCCAATTTGTATTCCAATGACTTATTCCTTTTAATTGACGAGATATTTCTTTGATACCGCTCAAGGAAATGTTTCTTCGGTACCATTAAAATAAATATATTTTTTCGCTCCCATTCAATTAAACATTTCTATGGTCCAATGACATTTTTTTTTTTTTCTCAGAGTATAGATCCGCTTGTGCCTCTTCAGGACACTTGACGCGTTCACCTGCTATAACTACGTCCTCTCCATGTCTATAAGTCCCATGGTTACTCCATGGATTCGTAATCCTCGGTAATCCTTACCTGGTCGGCCATGTTGTACCCGTCGTGGTGATACGACGTCGGGTGGTGCTGAGGCACGCTCAGGGACAGGTCGAGGTTGTCGCTTCTCTGCAACAATAAACCAAGTTTAACCCGTTAGAGCGGTTTCTCCTCTACTCTTATCAATCCTTATCACTAACAGGCTCTTCCGATTCGGCGGAGAAAATGCGCCGATGTAAAAGCGAAAACCCTTGTTCGCGCATAATAAGGGGCACAATGTTGCGGAACCACTCGGCGACAGATCTAGGTTGCCGTCTATCCGCGGCGTGCAGCTCTCTCGCTAGTTAGAACGATTGCCCAATCGGTCGATAAGCTCGCATTATGAATACCAGATTTAACGATCAATTGCGACATTTAATTTACGTAAAACACTCGGCGCGATAACTGGGAATATTGCAAGCGACCCACAGAGAAAGAGAAATGAGGACGAACCTGAAGAGACCCGCAAAGAAGACGCGAAAATCCGTTTTCTTTGTAGAAAATCGACTGGGAGATCCTAAATAGTCCCTAGGGGCCCTAGCTAGGGTTTCGACCCCAAAAATCCGCAGCCCTACCCAAGAGATTTTTTCCTAAATAAGTGGAAGATATGACCTAGCTAGGGCTTGATAACTGGAACGAATCGCCAGAATCTCTGCTTCGGAGTGTTATTTCGAGTTCGCGGGGGGTAATTCTCTTTCTTTCATCCAAGGTCTCGCATTGGATCGACTTGGTACAAAGGAGCAGGAGCAACGCAATTCCAACAATGGCTTCCCACCCTCCGACGCAATGATACGGGAATTACCGCGAAGGTGCGTGACGTTCCGCACGCGGGCTGCGTTATTTCCGCGTCGTAAAGACCGCGGGTCCCACTCGGGATTGGCCTCCGCTTTTGAAACCGCTCAAGAGCTGTCAACGAAGTCGTTGACCGCTCGTCATTCGCTTAATGCCTTCTAGATTTTGTTTATAGAAACCCTATAATCCTTGCGTAGTGGTCAGTAATCAAAAGTCATCAAAATGTAAAAGTAATAGCATCACCCTCTTTGCCATTCTACTTTCTCTCAAAATCCAAGTGGATAGAAATCATCATCCAGCTTTTTAATAGTGAACTAAATAAACAGTCCCTTTCTTGTCAACATTTGGGAAAGGAACCCAGTCGTTACACATTGCGCGCAGCGATGCAATTGCAGCGCTCATGTTGTAAAAATAATAGCATCACGCTCTTTACCATTATACTTTCTCTCAAAATTCAAAAGGATAAAGATTATCATCCACCTTTTTAATAGTGGACTAAATAAATATTTCCTTTCCTGCCAACATTCGGGAAAGGAACCCAGTCGTTACACATTGCGCGCAGCGATGCAATTGCAGCGCTCATGTTGTAAAAATAATAGCATCACGCTCTTTACCATTATACTTTCTCTCAAAATTCAAAAGGATAAAGATCATCATCCACCTTTTTAATAGTGGACTAAATAAACAGTCGCTTTCCTGCCTACATTTAGGAAAGTAACACAGACGTTGCACTTTGCGCGCAGCGATGCAATTGCAGCGCTCAAATTGTAAAAATAATAGCATCACGCTCTTTGCCATTATAATTTCTCTTAAAATTCAAAAGGATAAAGATTATCATCCACCTTTTTAATAGCGAACTAAATAAACGTCTCTTTCCTGTCAACATTCGGGAAAGGAACCCAGTCGTTGCACTTTGCGTGCAGCAATGCAGTTGCAGCGCTCCCCTTTGTTTCTGGGAGCAGCCTTTTTCCCCCCTCCTGGTGTTTGATCTGTTAATTCGTGTTTGTTCGAGTCCTCCTCCCCTTCATCCCCTTCATCGAGCGTCCCTTTCACACGGTGTATGCGAATTCGCGCGAATTCACGCGAATGCACGGAACGCGAATGCGATTAGTCCTTCGGCTGCAAACGTCTCGTTAGACCTCTGCCGTTGCAATCCCGTCGATGTCCGATCGATCGATCACTCGCCGATCGTACAATTTCCCATTTATTACGACGAACAAATGAGAAATCCGCGATAGGAATGCTTCGATGGCAGAAACTGCACGCGGATAATAGCGCAACCTTTCCTCGAGCTTTATTTTCCAGTGGAAAGGTTTTCAATGATCTCATGACGTTTCATCAGATATCATCGAACGGGAATAGATAACGTCCCGAGTGAAAATATTGCTAGGAAATCCCAGAGAGTACTTAGGCCCTAGATAGGGCTTTTTCCTAGGGAATTCTTAGCCCCAGCCGAGGACCTTAGGATGAGATAAAGCATTAAAGACAATTTTTCTCCTCAATGTCAAGTAAAGGCCTAAGTGGGATTTATTTCGACATGCAAGACAATTTTATCTAGGCCCTAGACACGTCCTAGTTAGAACTTGAATTTCCAACCAAGGCAATTTAACTTAAATTTCCTTCCAAGGCAATTTCTTCTGTTTAAGGTCTAACTAAAACCTAGTAATAAATTGATTTGGCATCCAAGACATCTAGGGTTTTTCGGCGGCTAGATAGGGCCTACTCGGAACCTAATTATACATCAGGGCAACTTTATTCGATTTTTGCTTTTGGATTAATTTCGGATGTCTTGACTATCTTATTTAGAAAAGTGTCACGATTCGATGAAGGCCCTACATCGGTAGTTTGGAACCCTAGCTAGGTCCTAAGTTGTTTTTGAACATCTTGTACATATTAGAAGGCGCTAAGGTAGAACGTGATGTTAATAAAATTTAATTTTTCAACAAAAACGTTGTTTATCCCAGACTAGAACCAAGGATGCACATTTTTTCTTTTGGAATATGAAATCTGACTAGCATCGCGTTTTTCCTTAGATCCTCCATAATCACGTGGCGAAGTGTCAAATGATTCAGTGCACCCAGTTTGAAGAAAAGTTATACAAATATTTGGATGTTTATATTTATAATGGCCCTTTCGTAGTGCCTTAAGGGGCTTGAGTAATTTTATGTATTAATTAATAAAGTATGACCAAGCGTTCGCGCGGCACGATTTCTCGAGGCGAGTGGGAGGCGAGATAGTTTATTGAAAATTAACCAACCGAGGGGCCATTAATCGAAAATTACGCCGATGACCAAATGACCGGGGCACATGGTGGAATTATCGTGCCTAGGGACTTTCCTAGTTAGTTCCCTCGAGTGGTTCGACTTGACTCTAAAAGATCGGCCCGAAAGATAATCAGTCACAATTCCCGAACAAGTAGAAAGTAGGGCACCGAGGGGTACACATGTACAGTATATACACAACGTACACCAACTCGTGGCACAATCTGGCTGATAATTAAGTTGCGAGTGAAATAAGCGCGGGTATAAATAATAAAAGTGCGTCACGGTTCGGCTGACTCGACAGTCGTTTCAGGGAACTCGAAATCGAACTCGAAAGTGGGGAGAAACTCGCACGCACGACATGCATAACGCGTGTACATATGTATAAGTACATGCATAAGAGATAAGGTCGAAAAGTGATATGAACGCGTGAATGGAAATTAATCTGCATGGGACAGGGGTTTATCGCTCGCGCATATCGTTACCGCCTAGAATTCACGTTTTATCTGCACTCTGCAGAAAAAAAAAAAAAGGAAAAACAAGTATCCGTCAACTTATATCATTACTTTTTCTTAGCGATAACCCGCGTCGAAGTTGTACAAAGACATCTAGCTAGGATGAGAACCTGACAATGTAGGGTCTGCCATTACGCTTCAATGTTGGTCCAATAAAGAAAGAATCGGAAAAGGTTGATAAACATTTAAATTTTCAAAAAGCCTTAACTAAGCGCTATAACAAGGAAAGCCTAGATAAAATTGGGTTTTAGCTTTGCATTGACAAGAAAAAATTGATCTTTGGTAGAAAATCAAGTCTTAAATAAAACCCTACCTTGGCTAGGGTTTCCTATCGTCCCCTAGCTAGGGCTTATCAAGTCATTCCAAAAGTTCCGTCATTATTGTGTGCGAATTAAGTAACGTCATGAACGGAGCAATGAGATTCAATAATCTAAGGTCTGTCAGTAATTCCTAGTGCAAGAAAAGTCAATAAAGTCGGTAAAATGGCAAAAGAAAGTTACCAGAGAAAGAGATGATTTTTTTTTTAACGAGCGGATGGAGACTGGAATTTCTTAGCTAACTTTTTACGTGGAAAAGCGTGTAATTGCGATTAATGGCAACGCAATGGCGAACTTTTCAGTGATTTTGATCGGGAATAGCTCGATCGAAGAGAGGTCGATGGAGGACGAGAAGGCAAAAGAGAAGGCGAAGGAAATTGCGCCCGTGGAATCGTACAAAAGGAGGGCCGGAAAGTAATGCGCATTTTAAAGGAGGAAGGAGGACGTCTGAAAATGTATGAAATGCAAACGAGGAGGAGAGGTACAGCATCAACTACCCATACGATCGTATAAAAGGAGGGGGCCCGGGGAGCGATTTGAATTTATGAAACGCACGTGTGTGCTTGAAAATTCATCCACCCCTTGTCGTCGGCCACTTGAGTCGAGATCTCTAAAATAATGCTAAACTTCCCCCCCACGTAGCTTTATCCCATTCCTCTTCGACTGTCCCTTTGCCCACACTGTTAAAATAATTCATACACTTTTAGTGCACAAGGTTGCAGTAAAAATATAAATTTGGCGTCTTAAACAGTGAATCATTATGCGGAGAAAAATAACAAATTTGATATTCGAAAGTCATTTAGTATCGTCATTGTTTGCACATTTTTCAGATGAGTCTTTAACCTTACGATCGTATACATGAGGTTATTGAGAAAAGTATTTAAATAATATTAAACAAAATTCTTAAAATCAGTAGAAGATACCTCGACAACTGCAAAATGATTTTTCTTTTCGACGTTTGGAGTAGGGCTGTCTCTAAGATCGTATTCGAACGTGTCAGGAGCATATGTGAAATCTCATTGTCTGAAGAAGAAACGTTTAAAATCAAGTACCGACCAAAACAAATTTACAACACGTTATACATTTCATTAGAAAATATTTAAAAAAAATTATAATATTTCTCTTTTTATACAGTGCACCAAATACATTTTTCAAACCTCGAGCCCCGAATCAATTCCCAACGTGATCGTACAACACGAATAGGG